TGGACTCCCATGTAGTCGACTGCAGTTTGAGTCCCGGACCCAGTGGCTTAAACTCACGCCGGGCGCATGTGCATGCGTGCCCACGATCCTGAGAACAGAAAGGAGGAGAAGGGATTGTGGCATGGCCATCCCCTCTAGGGAGTGATTTCTTGCTTTCTGTCTCTCTGTCTGTGTCTTTCTGGTGAGCCCACATGCCCTATAGCAAAAACCTCTCCAAAAAAAAACGTTTATTCATTCATTTCTTCTGTGAATGAGGACAGAGGGAGACAGAGACAGCACCCCCAATGGGTTCTGAATGCTGCGACCGGCCCCCAGCTTCAGCCAGCCCGGATCACAGGCACACGCATGCTTGGCAAGCTCAGGGAGGTCTCTGACATGACCCTGGATCCTTGCCATGTGGGGTCACCTGGCAGTGCTTTACTGCTGTCCCCCCAAGGAGCTCCACAGGGCTCCTGGTTTCTTACCCAGTCCCCTACTCCCGTTTCAAGCTGAGGTCGGCAGCCACCTTCAGGAGCTTCCTGATGCTTGTCATTCCTGTTTCCCACTGTCACTTAGGAAACCAGCGCAGGGCCAGCCCACAGCCTAGTGGTTAGGGAGCCTGAGTCCACACAGCCAACCACAGCTGAACGCAGCCCCTGGTCATTTGGGGGGAAAAAAAAAACACCGGGCACATGTGTGCGCACGCACTCAAACTTCCAACAGGACGGAGAGAGAGAGAAGGGGTGCAGCGTGATTGCGCCCCATGGAAGGCACTTTCTTCCTCTCCCTCTCAGGTGAGTGTACATGCGCTCTGGCAACTTTTTAAAAAATAAAGAAATCAATGTTCCATCTTGGGGGCAGGTGGTGGCACAGCAGTAACACCACTAGACTCACAGCGGGGCTCCTAGGCCTGTGTCCCAGGACCTGCATGTACCTGCACAGGGCACGCACAGCCCGGGTCTGAGCGCGCTGGGGTGGATCACGGCATGAAGACCCTGTTGGGGTGCCTGTCTCTCTCTCAGAAGAAATAAATAAACTTCCTAAAAATAATAACACACACTTTTTTAAAGAGAGACTTTTGTTGGCGAGACAGAGAGACAGAAAGTTAAGAATCAACGTCCAGAGGACGACCATGCCGCAATCCCTTCTCTTCATTCTCCTCTCAGGGCACGCACACACATGCATCTGGCATGAGGGGTTTCTTTGTTGTTGTTGTTGTTGTTAGAGAGAATTTTGCTATAGGCGTGTGCACTTGCCAGAAAGACAGAGACAGAGAGACAGAAAGTTAAGAATCAACGTCCAGAGGACGACCATGCCGCAATCCCTTCTCCTCCATTCTCCTCTCGGGATCTTGGGCACACACGCACACGTGCCCGGCATGAGTTTTAAGCCACCAGGTCCGGGACGCGAACTGCGGTCGACTACGTGGGAGTCTAGTGACATAGCCATTACGCTAACTGCTGGTCCCAATAATATATATTTTTAAACATTTCATTTTTGTTTTGTCTTTAATGGGTGCAGAGGATGCTGCAGTGCTGCTCTCCCACACGGCCAGGGCAGGCTGGGCTAGCGGAATCTCCTAGGAGGCTTTAAAATTGCAAATTCTGGGGCCAGCTCGTGGTATGGTAGTGAAGGCACTGGATTCCACAGGGTCGACTGTAGTTTGAGTCCCGGACCTGGCAGCTTCCTTTCTCACTTTCCTTCTCTCTCTCTAGTCAAATTAAAAAATGATAAGGATTAAAAAAATTAAAATTGAGGGACCAGAGTTGGCATAATGGCTAGGTCACCGGACTCCCATGTAGTCAACCGCAGTTTGCATCCCATACCCAGTGTCTTAAACTCATGCCGGGCGCACGTGTATGCGTGCCCAAGATCCTGAGAGGAGAATGGAGAAGGGACTGCGGCATGGTCAGCCCCCCTGGGGGTGATTTTTCACTTTCTGTCTCTTTCTGGCGAGTGCATGAGCCCTATAGCAAAATCCTCTCCAAAAATAAAATTTTAAATGAATAAATCATTCTTTTTCAAAAGATATTGCAAATCCCTGGGCCAGCTTAAAACAAGCTAGTCAAGGGGACCAGCAGTTAGCGTAATGGCTATGTCGCTGGACTCCCATGTAGTCAACCGCGGTTCTTATCTCGGACCCGGTGGCTTAAAACTCACGCTGGGCGCGTGTGCGTGTGTGCCCAAGATCCGAGAGGAGAATGGAGGAGAAGGGATTGCGGCGTGCGCTTTCTGTCTCTATGTCTCTCTCTGTCTGTCTGGCGAGCGCACGCACCCTATAGCGAAAATCTCTCAAAAAAAAAAAAAAAAAAAAAAAACAAGCTAGTCAAGAAAAGCCAGATCCCACGTGGTGATGACATTTCAAATCCTAGCCTTGTCACCCTGAACACACCAGGCGTGTGCACAAGCGTCCAAGATCCAACGGCCTGGAGGGGGAGGGTGGGAGGAGGGGGATCGCAGCATGAGCAGACCCCATGGACGGTGCTCTCTCTCCCGTCCTCTCTCTCTCACATGCATGTGCTCTATCACGAAGAAAGAAAAGAAAGCGTGGGCCAGCAGGCGGCATGGAGGTCAGGACAGCTGGACCCCGCAGCCGACGGTGCAGTCTGAGAGCTGGACCTGGCAATCCGGAAAGCACGCCACCAAGCATGTGTGCACGTGTCCTCAAAAACTGCGAGAGGAGAAGGGACTGTTGGAGTGGTATTGCCCCCCAGGGAGTGCTTTCTTACTCTCCCCCCCCTCTGTCTCTGGTAAGTGCATGTGCCCTATAACAAAAATGAAAGAAAGAAGAAAATGCAAGCTCCTCCTGCAGCTCCCACCCCAGGTGCCCAGTGTGGCTGAGCAGGTCCGCAGCAGGGACTCATCTGGGGACTCTGGAAGTAGACTGACGGTTTGTGTTTGTTTTGTTTTGTTTGAAGTTCATTTATTTCTTCCATGAGCAAGAGTCGAACATAGAGAAAATGAGGGAAAGATAGACAGGAACCCTCACCGGGGTCCTCACACTGCCATACCCAGCCTCAGTCAGCAAGGGGCATGGGCACGCATGCACCCTGGATGCACAGGGAGACCTCGGGATGAGAACCTGGGACCTTCCCATAGCTCTCATCATCACAGGGCACGGAGTTCCTGCTGCGCACGGGCTGGCCCAGATGGGGTGACTGCAGAGGGCATGAAAGTCCCCAAGCCCTGCTGGGGAAAGGCTGAGGACTGCTCCCTTCGCCATCTTTCTCGTCCTCCCTCGCCTACTCCTGTTCTGACTCCTGGGTTGAAGGAACGTCTGCATTGATTTTCACGTGGGAAAGGTTCCCACTAAAAACGTGTGACCGCCACTGAGCCTCGTACCTGAGGTTCCCATGATGCCTCAGGCTGCCAGCCTCTGGTGAGAGGAGACCCAGTGGGACAAGACAAGGCTGCCCACGGAAGCAGGGCTGTCGTGCAGAAGGGGGCCAGATTCACTTTGTGTGGTTCGAGGTCACACAGGCCAACTGACCGAGGAGCCGTGTAAGTTCCCGGAAGATGCCCCTGGAGACCAAGGGCAGAGATGCGGGAGACAAAGGGACTCCACTGTGGAGGAGACTCACCTCACCCCAGGTCCCTTTCCAAATCTACCACACTGAGCACTCCTAGTTACCTTTTGTTTTTAGCTGCCAGAGCCACAAGGGTGCTTGCCAGAGACAGCGAGAAACTTATTCCATGAGCGAGAGACAGACAGACAGCACCCCCAGCATCAGGGAGACTCCAAGTCAACAGGATCTTGGCACTGCAACCCATCTCGTCTGGGGCTTGTGTCAGGCCAGTTTGGGAGGTTGGGGGGTAGGAAATGTCCTATTTTTTGAGTCAGGGATGTGTGCAGAACCTCACTCATCACGATGGCATCAGAGCCACCAGCTCAAGGGTCTACAGCCTTTCATGATGCCTTCACGGACACACTCTGGGGTGGCCCGAAATGGAAGAGCTATCAGGAAAGATGCTTCAGCTGACAATGTCCCCAAAAGGTCCTCAGAAAACCACGAGCTGGCTGTCCCCCTGCCGGCCGTGGTCACTAGGACCACGTCAGAACCCAAGCCACAGCCGCAGCTACCCCGGCCCAGGGCTGGCTCCTTCCGGCGCGCCCAATGCCGCAGGGCCACCACCTACCTGAGCATACTGCTCCTTGAGAGGGCCAGAGAGCCGGAGGATGGCACAGTCGTCAGCTCCGAGCCTGGGGGACAGGGACAGGGAGACCAGAATCCAGTTAACCCAGAGCTGCCGGGAACTTTCAGGGCCCAGACAGGAGTGCAGAGCCTGGGCTGAAGTCCCACCTCTACTACTGGAATTAATATCTAACTGGCCGATCTCGAGTTCCCTAATCCTATTGCCTCATCCACAAAATGGAGACAGCAGTTCTGGTTCTGTCTCCCACACAGGGTAACTATGACACTGGAATGAATATAAAAGAGCCCTGCAGGCCAGCCCATGGCCTGGTGGTTAAGGCAGCTGGATCCTACATAGCTGACCTCACAGTTTAAGTCCTGGACCTGACAGCTTGAAAAACACACCTGGTGGGCCAGCAGGTGTCATGATGGTTAAGACATTGGACTCCCACATGGTCAACCTCAGTTCGAGTCCTGGTCGTGGCAGCTTGCTTTCTCACTTTGCCTCTCTCTCTGTCTCTCTGGTAAATTAAAATAATAATCATCATCATTAATAAAATTAAATACGTTTTTTAAAAAACGTATTTAATTTTCCTCTTTTTTAAAAAAGAGGAAAACACACCTGTCATATGTGCATGCATGCCCAAAATCCCAAAAGGAGACAAGGAGAAGGGCCTATGTTTGACCATACCCCGCGGGCACGGGGTGTTTCCTTACTTCCTAAGGTCGCACTCTCTCTGTCTCCCTCCGCTGAGCACATGTACCCTCCGGAAAATTTAAAAACAAAAATAAAAAAACTCTGAAACAAGGACCATCAGATGGCACAGCAGTCATGTCACTGGACTCCCACAGGGCCAAGCGTGGTTTAAGTCCTGGACCCAGAAGCTTGAAAATCATGCAGGGATGGGGCTGGCAAGTGGCGTGGTGATTAAGGGTGCTGGACTCCAACATGGCCAACTGTGGGTCGAGTCCTGAACATGGTGTCTTGCTTCCCCTTCTCTGTCCCTCTCTGGTCAAATTTAAATAAATTAATTAATTAAATAAAGCTAAAATAAAAAATAATTCTAGAAGAAGAAAATCACGCTGGGAGAGACCAGCAGGTGGTGTGGTGGCTGAGGACACTGGACTCCCACATGCCCACCGTGGTTCGAGTCCTCGGCCTGGCAGCTTGCTTTCTTGTTTTCTCTCTCTCTCTCTGTCCCTCTCTGGTCAGACTGGAATGGATGAATAAATAAAGTTAAATAAAAAATAATTAAAAAAAAAAAAAAAGTCAGGACCAGCAGTTAGCGTAATGGCTATGTCGCTGGACTCCCACGTAGTCGACCATGGTTCACATCCCAGACCCGGTGGCTTAAAACTCACGCCGGGCGCGTGTGCGTATGTGCCCAAGATCCTGAGAGGAGAATGGAGGAAAAGGGATTGCGGCATGACCATCCCCCCTGGGGGGTGATTTCTCGCTTTCTGTCTCTATGTCTCTGTCTGTCTGGCGAGCGCACATGACCTATAGCAAAAACCTCTCCAAAAAAAAAAAAGATTTGGGGCTCACATGCGCACACACCCAGCATGAGTTTAGCCGCTATGTTTAGGACTCAAACCTCAGTCAACCGCAGGGGAGTCCAGCAACGTAACCATTACACCATCTGTTGGTCCGGAGAAATGTGTTCTTATGTCCATGTTTCAGATAAGAAAACTGAAGTTGAGAGAGTTCTGACTCACCCCAAACAACACTGTAATAATAAAGCCATTATCAGTAATAAAAATAGCCAAGATTTTGTTCCTGAGCTTCTGCTGGGTATCAAGAATTGTTGCAAGTTCTTCACGTGTATTATCTCATTTAACCCTAAGCACCACCCTGTTGTTGTCCCCCATTTTACAGGTGATAAAACCGAGGCACAGGGCGGATAGGAAGTGTGTAGAAGATCGTAACTAGTAATGGTGACCCAGGACTTGAATCCCAGCCTTCTAACCCCAGGGCCTGTGCTTCTGATCATGATTTGACTCCTGCATTTGGGGGTCAGGATGCAACTTGGGAAAAGGTAGTGAGCTTCTCGGTGCTGCAAGATTCAGGTGGTAAGCTAGCCCACAGCACGGTGATCAAGGCAGCTGGATCTCACGCGGCCCACTGCATGGTCTGAGTCCCATACCAGGCGACTTAAGAAATACACCAGGCACATGTGCATGTGTGCCCCAAATCCCGAAAGGAGGGAGAAACGGAGAAGGGATTACAGCGTGACCGTTCCCCATGGAGGGTGCTTTCTCACTTTTTCTCTTTCTGTGTCTCTCTCCAGCGAGCACTTGCACCTTCTGGCAAATTAATGAAAGATACAGGTGGTGACCTCTGTCCTGGGCTCCCCCATAATCTCTCAGAACCCCTTTGATACCCCCAAAGCAGCCTCCTGGTACCACACCAGCCTTCCAGAGAGAGAAGCCCTATTCCACTTTCTCCTTGCTCTTCTGCTCGCCTGATGTGTGCCACAGTGAAAATATTCCCACACAGAACACTGGCTTAAAGAGAAACTACAGAGCCATAGGTACTGTCACTGGGTTGTTCAGAAAGTCATGACGCATTTTTGTATGGAAAAATACTCCACGACTTTTCCAGCACCCTAATGCATAGGAAAGCAGTGAGGAAAGGCAGAAAGAACCCAGTCCTTGGAGCCAGACACGGGTGAATTTTAATCCTGGATTTGTTACTTACTTTGGATCCTGGATAGTTTTTGTTTTGTTTTGTTTGTTTTGCTATCGGGCATGTGTGCTCACTGGAGAGACAGAGAGACAGAAAGTGAGAAGTCATCCCCCAGGGGGGATGGCCATGCCACAATCCCTTCTCCTCCATTCTCCTCTCAGATTTTGGGCACACACACACACACACACACACGCCAGGCATACGTTTTAAGCCACACTCGCTTGGAGTGTCCCTTATCCGTGCCACAGTTTCCTCATTTATAACAGAGTCAAAGAGGGTTAGGAATGGTACATAGAGGGGTCAGTAGGTAGCATAGTGGTTAAGGCACTGGACTCCCACAAGGTTGACTGCGGTTTGAATCCCAGACCTGGTAGCTTGAAAATCATGCCAGGCACATGTGCCTGTGTGTCCAAAATCCCAAGAGAAGAATGGAAGAGAAGGGACAGCTGTGTGGCCATCCCCCCTTGGGGGTGATTTCTCACTTTCCCTATCACTGTCTCTCTCAAGTTCATGTCTTATGGCAAAAACCTGAAAAAAAAAAAGGGGGGGGGGAATGGTACATAGAAAGTGCCTTGATACTAAGTGGTAAGATGTTTCTTTGGAGAGAGAAACCTACAGCTTCAGGTCTTGAAGAGTGGCGCCTGGTTCTGCGAGGTGGGCACGTGTAGACCTTCTCCTGTGACGGTAACAATCCTTCACCGCTCCCGGCCCACTGCTCCTCCTGCCCTGCAACCGAAGGACCCCTATTCCAAAGCACACCCCCTCACACCCAAACACCCCTCGAATTACGTGATGTGTAGATTTCCCCACCACCACCTCTTTCCTCCTTCCCCGCCCCACGGACACCTGCTCTGCAGCGTCTCGGTCACAAAGTCCTTTCCGGATTTCCTCTTCCCGCTGAACAGCAGCACCAGCCGCGGGGTGCCTCCCAGCGGGGCCATGGGACCGCCACGCTTTGCGATCTCTAAAGCGGACACTCCTACCCTCAAGTCTGGCCACCCCCGCGCGACAAGGACGCGGCCACTAGGTGGAGCGGCGTCCTCCCGGAGGGATTCCGCCCCGGCTTCTCCATGGCCGGGGAGAAGGCTGACGACGCACGGCTGGGCTTCAGCACGTTTCGATTCGTGTCGAAGCAATTATGGGAGGAAAGAAGGAGAGAAAAACGGAGGTAAAAGAAGTTTATTCCCGGGACGTCCTTCTCCCCGAAAGAACTACCCTGCCAGAGCTCACTTAGGACAGCCCGGCCCCGCCCAGAAGCACGTCACAGCCCCGCCTCCGCCCCCGCCGCGCCGACGCACTGGCGCAAGCCACTTTCCTCCGGGGGGAGTCATGTCTTAAAATGTCCTGAAGCGGATCTCGCTTTCCCTCCCACACGGCTCTACGAACATTACGGAAAACCCACTGAGTTTGTTAATATGGGAGACGTTTTCACAACTGCCTTTTTATTTTCGCGTTATAATGTGTGTACCAAAGAAGTCCGTATTGCCCCATAGTGAAATGGGTCTTTCTGGAAATGTTTGACAAGCTAGGGTTGGGCTGGTGACGTCACGGAAGGGCGGGGCTTCGCCAAACGAGCCGCTCTCCTGTTAAACGGGTTTTAGGATCTGAGAGGTCGCTGTGGGTGGGTCTTTTAAGTCCAGGGGAGATCCTTCATCCTTTCGCTAGCCGCAGCTTCCTCTCCGAGGTTTTCGGAAGGGAGAGAGCTTGGAATGGCGTGGATGACATCAACAGTATAAGTTAAAAGGGGGCTTTGAAGCCATGCTGGGCGGGATTACGTAGTTTTATCTGGAGTCCAGCTCCCGCCAGGAGTTCGACCGGCCGACTAAAGGGTGGGGATTTGTCCCTGCATTCCCAGTTGCGCCTCTGCGCTCGACAGCTGACACCCAGTCCCTGACGAGTAAGTGGCTGTCTTTAGCCATGACTCGCTGCCCTGCAATTTCTGCGCCTGTCAGAGCACAGCCTGCAGCCCATTCCTGCCCCCATTGTACTGGCTGCAAAGTCACATAACTGCTTTTTTTTTTTTTTTTTTGGAGAAAAAGTGAACTGTCGGGGGCTTCCTTTGGGAAAACAATCCTCTGAATATTGAAAAAAGGCACAGAAGAGTGGTCAAGTGCAAAATGAATGAACTTCAAGGGACTCTCGTTTTACAACTCAGCACTCCGAAGGCAGGAGAGTAGGAAGTTTTAATCCCACTTTCGACACTTTGACTCCGACCTCTGACCTTCAGCAAGTCACCCTGAGTTCTCCACTCATAATGCCCACCCCCGAGGAAACAGAAGGAATGAGAAAAACATATGATAGAGAAAACGGGCCAGTAAGTGGTGTGGGGGTTAAGGAGGCTAGATCCCACGTGATCCATTGCGGTTTGCATCCTGGACCCTGCAGCTTGAAAAGCACCCGGGGTGCATATGTGTGTATCCGAGGTCCTGGGAGGAGACTAGAGGAGAAGGGATTGCAGTGCAGCTATTCCCCCCAAGGGTGATTCCTCACTTTCCCAGGTGGCATAATGGTTACATCACTAGACTCCCAAGTAGTCGACTGTGGTTCGAATCCCAGACTCAGCAGCTTAAAACGCTGAGCGCATGTGGGTGTATGCCCAAGATCCTGAGAGTAGAATGAAGGGATTGCAGCGTGGCCACACCTGATGGAGAATGATTTATCCTTCCTTCTCTGTCTCTCCAGAAAATGCACATGCCCTATCACAAAAATCTCTCTTAACAAAAAAGATGCTGAAATAAAATTTTTTGAGTAACTAATTAACTAATTTAATCTAGCCCCACAATGGGGTCTTCAAACAATTTATGTAAAATGCCTTTTATGAAAATTTATGTATAGGGACCAGCAGTTGGCGTAATGGTTATGTCGCTGGACTCCCATGTAGTCAACTGCAGTTCAAGTCCCAAACCCAGTGGCTTAAACTCACGCTGGGTGCATATGCATGCATGCCCAAGATCCCAAGAGGAGAATGGAGGAGTTGACCAGCAATTAGTGTAATAGCTATGTCGCTGGACTCCCACGTAGTCAACTGCGGTTCGCAACTCGGACCCGGTGGCTTAAACTCATGATGGGTGCGTATTCGTGGATGCCCAAGATCCAGAGAGGAGAATGGAGGAGAAGGGATTGCGGCGTGCCCATCCCCCTGGGGGGTGACTTCTCGCTTTCTGTCTCTCTGTCTCTGTCTGTCTGGCGAGCTCACGTGCCCTATAGGAAAAAACCTCTCAAAAAAAAAAAAGAGAAGAATGGAGGAGAAGGGATTGAGGCATGGCCATACCCCCTGGGGAGTGATTTCTCGCTTTCTGTCTCTCTGTCTCTCTGGCGAGCTCACATACCCTATAGCAAAAACCTCTAATTCAGTTTTTAATTTTATGTATGGATTTCAATTTTTTTGTACAAGAATAAACTTATATTTTAATTCCACTTTTCCACGAACTTTTAAAAACTTTATTTCATTTATCAGGGCCGGCAGATGGCATGGTGGTTAAGGGCACTGGACTCCCACATGGCCTACAGCAATTTGAGCCCCAGACCCGGCGGTTTGCTTTCTCACTTTCCCTCTCTCTCTCTCTCACTCTATCCTTCTCTGGTCAAATTAAAATGAAAAATAAATAAATAAAAGTAAATAAAATGATTCTTTAAAAACAAAAATCTTTCCTTCATTTATGACTGCATATGCACATGCAAAGGAGAAACAGAGAAGCACCCTCCACAGGTCTTGTCATGCTGTCCTCCCTGCCCTCCAGTCCATCAGGATCTTGGGCAGGTGCACACCAGGCTTGTTTCAGGTCAACCAGGCCAGGAATCAGAACCGACAGTCAGCCAGGGGTTCCAACACTGCAGTTTGGTACCCTAGCAATTGCACCAGCAAGGCTGGGCCTTGTGTAAACTTTCTGAGGTCCCTTTATGTTTGAAGGAAACCAACTTTGTACTAACACACCCAGAGATGGTCTGAGCCTGCAAGGAACCAGCTCACCCAGCTCTGCAGAGCCTGCTGGCTTTTGTCAGTGACCCTGCAGACCTCTCTTGGAGGAGCCCTGTACAGAATTGGCACAGGAGTACTAAAGTCAGCCTCCGCCACTTCAGACAAGTCTGTCCCATCGTGGAACCAGATGCCACACACACACACACACACACACACACACACGCACCCCAGCTCAGTGACACCATCCGTTGCTTGCTTTAGTGTCATGCCTCTGACCCCACAGGGCAATGCCCTCTGCCAAGGCTCGTAACTAAATGTGCGTCGATCCTCGTATGTTTGATGGTCGTTGTTCCAGAAGCAATGGAGCCTGGCAAGGGGGGACGGAATAGGATGGAGGTGGCGAAGAAGTAGTATGAGAGGGAAAGAAGGACCAAGGGAGAGGCCGAGTCCTTAAAGACCAAGAGGCGAAGAGCATGTGCGTTTGTGTATTCTTCCCATCGTTCAGCATGCATTGCAGTAACTAGCACGTGTCGGAGACGTGAGGCTGAAGGCAGGCTCTCGCACTGCGAGTGCAGCGTGGGGGCCTGCAGGGGGCAGCAGTAATTAAATGCTCCACAGTGCTGACACTGCGTGGGGAGGTCCGGGATTCAAGCCCTAGGGTCTCCCAGTACATGCCCGGGAGGCACTAGGCTGGGGAGAATGTCGGTGTGAAGACCCTGATGGGGTGCTTGTCTCCCCCACCCCATTTCTGTCTCCTTCTCTCTCATACAGAGGAAATACACTTTTTAAAATGGTTTTTTTATTTTTTTTCCAATTTGCTAAAGGGCACATGCACTCATCAGAGAGAGACACAGAAAGGTGGAAAGTGAGAAAGCAGCCGCCAAGTCTGGGGCTCAAACCACCACAGTCAATCAGGTGGGAGCCTGGCGCCTTAACCACCAAGCCACCTGCTCGCCCCAGAAATATACTTTTTAAAAATGGAGAATAAGATACTTTATCCCAGAATTGGAGAGAAATAGTTGATATAAATGCTCCCATACAAGCTGTAAATGGCTCTAACTGTGTATCCTAAGGGATACATTTTGCCTGAAACACCCTTCCCATCTTTGTGCGTATAACCATCTCCTATTGTATTTCAATATCTAGCTTGTCTTGCCTCCTCCAGGGAGCCTTCCCTGCCTGTCTCCCGCTCCCTTTCTGACTTAGATACCCATTTTCTGTGCTTCTGATACATCCTGTACTTACCCACCTCATAGTATCATACCCTAAACTATAATTACCCATTTACTTTTATGTCTTTACCCTCAGATAGAGGGTAGTTCACATTTACCAAGCATTTATAATGTGCCTGACCTTTACTCAATTAAAAAAGAGAATGAGAGGGCAAGCAAGTGGTGTGGTGGTTAAGGCACTGGACTCTCACATGGGCAACTGAGGTTCAAGTCCCAGACCCGGTGGCTTGAAAATCACAGTGGGTACATGTGCCTGCTTACCCAAAATCCCAAGAGGAGAATAGAGAAGAAGAGAACGTGGCATGGTCATCCCCCTGGGGACTGATTGCTCTCTCTCTGTCTCTCCAGCCACCACATGCACCCTATGGTAAAAACCTCTCCCTGGGGGAATAAAGAGTACTGGGCACAGTGTCACATGCCTGTAGTCCCAGCTGGGAGAGTAGGCAAGAGGGTCACTGCAGTGGACAACTAGACCTGTCTTTAAAAAAAAGGGAACCAGCAGTTAGTGTAATGGCTATGTCACTGAACTCTCATGTAGCCAACCGTGGTTCAAGTCCCGGACCCGGTGGCTTAAACTCATGCCAGGTGCGTGTGCGTGTGTGCCCAAGATCCCAAGAGGAGAATGGAGGAAAAGGGATTGTGGTGTGGCCATCCCCCCTGGGAGGTGACTTCTCACTTTCTGTCTCTATGTCTCTCTGTCTTTCTGGCAAGCGCAGATGCCCTATAGCAAAAACCTCTCCAGACTAATGGCCAACTGGTGGCATGGTGGCTAAAGCAGCTGGATCCCCATGGCGGACTGTATGGTTCAAGTCCCAGACCCAGTAGCTTGAAAGACCACACCGGGCGTGCGTACGTGCGTGCTCAAGATCCCAAGAGGAGACTGGAAGAGATGGGACTACATGTCCGTCTCTGCTTGGGGGGTGATTGCTCACTCTCTCTCTCCCATGCTACCCCCAACCTCCGCAAGCACACATGCCCTACAGCAAATTTAATAATAATAAGATGGAGGCACTTCTTCAAGGTCAGACGCTCCAAGTGATAGAACCAGGTCTGGCTCCAAAGCTAGAGGTTGTCCAGGCCAGGGCAGCCCCCTGGCCATGCAGGCCTGGCCTCCGGAGGCGTGGTAGCTCCTTCTCAGGGTCTGCCCCCCAGCTCTGTACTGAACGCGTTCACTGCTACTGGCCAGCACCCCAAGTGGCACCAGCCCGGGGCCAGGCCCAGGGAAAACGTTCCATAAATGAGCGAGGAGGAC